TCAAGCGATTCTCCTGCCTCAGCCTCCCAAGTAGCTGGGAGGCTGAGGCAGGAGAATCGCTTGAACCTGGGAGGCGGAGGTTGCAGTGAGCCAAGATCATGCCACTGCACTCCAGACTGGGTGACAGAGCGAAATTCCATCTCGAAAAAAAAAAAAAAAAAAAGGAGAGAGAAACGGGTGTCCCTGTGTTGCCCAAGCTGATCTCCAACGCCTGGCCACAAGCGATCCACAGTTGATGCTCGATGTTTACTTAACTGAGATTGTTAACCAGAGCACCTACACGTCTGTGTGATGTGAGATTCTTCATTTGTGTGGTGCACTGTGTCGCAAGGGGAAAGCAAACACACACACACACACACACACACACACACACACACACACACCTGTATATAGAGAGAACATACACATGCATGTAAACTAGAACATAGGCCCCTGTGGGAGAGCAGATGGTACTGCTTCTGGCAACATTGAAGCCTGCTCAATTTAAAGGGAGAGGAAATAGATTCTACCTCTCAATAGGGGTGGCAAGGTTCTGAAAGCACTTGTGGGACTAGGAATATTGCTGTAGCCATTTTTGAAACATGCAGTTTTTCTGGAGAAGACTGTAGAGGAAGTGGCATTGAACTGAACCTGGAAGGATGATGAATTTGGGACTTGGTTTCAGGAGAATGGAGGGAAAAGCATGTGCATAAAGATGCAAGGTGGGGCATCTGCCAGGCACATTCAGTAAACCAGTCTGGCAAAGGAGTCATACTGAGGAATAGTGGGTGTAAGGTTGGAGAGTGATAGTAGGGATAGAATTAGGGAAGCTTTGTTTTGAAGTCCAGGTTAAGGAATTGAGATTCAATAGAATAATTACTGAAGATTTCTAAGCAGGAATTTTTTTAAAAAAAGGAAAGAAAGGGAGAAGAGAAATGTTCCTAGATTGATCAGACAGGAGTGTGTCTAATGGATTGTAAGAGAAAACAAGCTATTGCATAAATTTAGATGAGAGATAATAAAAATCCCGAACTATGGTGGTGGTAGTGGTAACAGGGAAGAATACAATTCATGCTGACTGAGTAAAGGGTAATGGAGAGGCGGAGTCAAAGACACTTCTGGGGTTTCAGAATGGAATCACAGTAGAGAATAAAGGCTATTTGACATAGTTAGCTGGGTTGGGAGTGTCCAAAGAGGTAGACATGGAGATGCCTTCCCTGACTTGACTGGGACAGAGCCTGATACAGCTCCATGTCCCTCTTCTTCATTGCCCTTATCCCTGGTTGCACTTGCACATTTATGTAATTATTTGATTAATGCTTTCTGTTTATTACACTAAGCTCTGTGAGGGCAGACTTTGTTTTTTAGTATCCATTATTTCCAGTGCCTAGAACAGTGTCTAGTGCAGGAAGTGCCCAGCAAATGTTTGTTGAATGCTGTTGTTCATTGTAGGCAGAGGGAAACACCTTGTGCCGAGGCATAGACCATGAAATTACAATATTCAAGGAGTGTGATGGCCAGAGAGATAGCTGGGGGTCAGTTTAGTGTCTTATTGTGGAGGACTTTGAATGGCAAACTGAAAAGTCAGGACATTTTTCTGTTGTGGTGGGTAACTAATGATGGTGACTTTATCTCAGAGAAGAGACACAATTATTTTGGTTTTATTTTTTAAATAAGACAATTCTGGTTCCAGTGTGGAGAAAGGAAGTTGAAGACAGGAAAATCAGTCAGTGACAGTCCATATGGGAAATAACAAATACATCATTAAAAAAAAATCTCTTGAAATAATCCCATTTTAGAAAATTGGTTTAAATATTATTAAGAACTACATTTGTCATACTTTGGATTTAGAG